CAAAAATCACAATACAGTATGTTTTCCCTTAAAATTCAAATAAAATAAATTGGTTTCATAAAACGCAGCCCATTTCCCAGAAGATATGATGAGTCACGTAAATGAACCAGTGATAATGGGACAAACCTCTGACAACTACGCACATATTATGATGAATCTGCAAGCTCCCTTATGAAGAAAACTGCATTTGCTCCTCTGGTGACCTGTGGTGCCCAGAAGGTACAACTCAACATAGTAGACTGAAGCAAGACATTCCAGTGACAACTGGCCCTGTGTTGTCCTGATGAATTTGCCTGGGTTTGGCCCTCTTTCAAAATTTAAGCTCTTCTGCTCACTGAAAGGCAGCATTTCTCCTGAGAAGATAAGACAATACTGAGCTGTAATGTATCTTAGTGTTTACATCAGCATCAGCCTAAGATCTCCCAGTGCTACATGGTTTATGACATGTTTTTTCAGTTTATGGATGAATAATGGATGCAAAGATTTTATTTATTAACTTTTTTACTTGAACAGGAGCAAATGGCTTTGCCATTCATTACTTCTGGCACACAGTTCTCTTTCTTTTAAAGTAGTACTGGCTGGGTATTTGGGGGTAAGGATGAGAGTACTGCCACCTCCTGAAGTCAAGAGTATCCTTTCCAAGCTGTTCATTGGGAGCAGAAATCAGAGCTACATGAAGTGAGCACAGCAAGTGGCAGCTCCTGGAATCAGACTGCTGAAGTACTCTCCATACTGCTGGCAGACATTAGTCTAATCTGTGACAAATCAATCTTTCATAGCGTAAATACTCTGCAGGGTTTGTTGGTTTGGGTTTTTTTTAATCTGCATGGAGGAGCTACCTTAAAATACTTAATTCCCATTTGAAACTACTCTAAAAGGACAATTGAAATGATTATTTGGAAAGAAAAAAAATCTGACAATGTCTTTCAAATACATTTTGTCTTTTTTTTTTAAAGCCTTTTACAAAATCATGTATAACTTGTCACGCTGCTGTTTGCTTATGAAGGAATTCTTGTGTTGATCAACGATTTACATCCAGGATGCTGTGAAATGCATAACATAAACTAGGAAAAAAAAAAGAAGATTCTTTTCCATGCGTTACCCTCAGCGCTCTGAGGGCTGAGCAGAACTTGCAGAGGGAAGGTCCCAGGGGAATGCCCTCACCAGGCATAATTTCCTATAACTGTCATCAGTGAAGGCCTGGCCAGTTCAGTGATCCCAACAGACATCTTGGCTTTCGGTGTAGTGGAAAATACAAGGATGGGGGGGAGAGAGGCTTTTTCCATGTGCTTTTCCCACTATTTATAGCTTACAAATAAAACCCCAAAACCAAACCCCAAACAGTTCCAAAAGTTCAAAGAGAAAGAGTCCCTTCCTGGAGGGAGAGGCAGAGGAGAGAGCGAGCTGCCTGCGGGCACGAAGGCTCGCTCGGGCTGCCTGGCCCCAGGACAGGGAACAGGCTGTTCCAGTTTGAAATGCTCGTTGCTGCCCGGGCAGCTTTCTAAGGGGATTGTTATTGCCGAAAGCAAGATATAGATATCACTCTGGGTGAGTGGGACATAAAGGCAGCTCCATCCCAGCAGGAAAAACACTAGTGGACAGTGTCCTGCCTGAAGTCACCCCCGGAATCAGGAGAAACTCCAACCGTGCTGGCTCCCACCCAGACTTCAGCCCATCAGAGCCTGGCTCTTGGCCCTTTCCCTCCCCACATTCCCAGCCTGGAAGGCAAAAGAAAGCAAGTAGGGGCTGATGGGGTGAGGAAGGGACTGCAGAAAGGTCTCCGAGATGTGAAGAAGCCAGTCCAAGAAGAGGGTGGAGCAGGGGAGAATAGACCCATAGCCCCATAAAACCTTACTGCCTTCTCTCACCGTTGCCCTCAAACAGTCTCCTATAAAAATAAATTGCACCTCCCTATTCTTGCCATAAACACTTTGCTACTTTGTACTTGCAGTTTTCTTCCAATACTGCTGACCTGTTCAGCCACCCTCTTACCACCACCCAGAGCAAAGTGCTGTAGCAAAAGTGAATTTTGCTATCTTTCTGCTTGCAAAATTCCATGTTCCTGTGGCTAAAAACTCGACTAATTTCTGCTTCTTTCTGTGCTTTTTAGAAAAAGTTCCCAGTTGTGTCTCACAAAGCATTTTCTAGGTTTGGAGCTTATTCCAGCTGCTGTTACCCTTTCTTGTTGCAGGATAACACAATCTGTCTGTGATCTTCTTTTATCCCCTGGCAATCTATTTCTGGATTGTATAAACATTTCCCACTGTGAGGAGAACCCAGGAAAGAGAAAGGCAGTGTAGCAGTGGAGCAGAGCAGTGTCACAAACACCACCACTAAGTAATCCTGCCTCTGCTTCTTCCATGATCAATGCATCAAATAGAGATGAAGCTGTTTGAAAGGCATCTGCCTCTGTCTGCTTCTTCCATGATCAATACGTTGTAATGTAGAATAAAGAGATGAAGCTGTTTGAAAGGCATCTGCCTTTGCTCTCTGCACTTGTGTAACAACACCTACTATAAATTGCAGCAAGGCACATTTATGTCCGGGCTGGCAAGCTCTTTTTATTGTATTGCTGACATTTTCCATGAAATTCTGAGACTAAACCACTAATAGATGCTCCTATGAAAAAGAGCATGTTTTTCTGGTTATCAAGGTGTTGTGCCAAATCTGGTTTCTTTATGCTTGTAAAAACCTAGAGTTTTTGTGACTGTTAACCCTTTTAACAACAAAGGAAGAAGCCAACAAGGAAGAAGACAAGACTTTGCTCTCTGCACTTGTGTAACAACTACTACTATAAATTGCAGCAAGGCACATTTATGTCCGGGCTGGCAAGCTCTTTTTATTGTATTGCTGACATTTTCCATGAAATTCTGAGACTAAACCACTAATAGATGCTCCTATGAAAAAGAGCATGTTTTTCTGGTTATCAAGGTGTTGTGCCAAATCTGGTTTCTTTATGCTTGTAAAAACCTAGAGTTTTTGTGACTGTTAACCCTTTTAACAACAAAGGAAGAAGCCAACAAGGAAGAAGACAAGAAACATAATGGACTAAAAAAAAAAAAATAAAGAAAAGGGAAACTGGAGGAGGTAAAAAGAAAATGGAGGGTAAAAAAGCAGAAGGGAAGAATATTAAATATATGACAGCCAACAGCAACTGTTCTAGGTGCAAAAGGAGAAGGGATGGAAATGGGAGTGAACAGAACTTTACCAAATACAAATAAAGCAGAAAAGTAGGCTGGCAAGCTCTTTTATCGCTGACATTTTTCATGAAATTCTGAGACTAAACCACTAATAGATGCTCCTATGTTGTCCCAAATGTGGTTTCTTTACCCCTGATTGTGAAACTTAGAGTTTTTGTAACTGTTAACCCTTTTAACAACAAAGGAAGAAGCCAACAAGGAAGAAGACAAGAAACATGATGAACTAAAAAAAAAAAAATAAGGAAAAGGGAAACTGGAGAAGGTAAAGAGAAAATAGAGGGTAAAAAAGCAGAAGAGAAGAATATTAACTATATGACAGCCAACAGCAACTGTGCAAGGTGCAAAGGGAGAAGGGATGGAAATGGGAGTGAACAGAACTTTACCAAATACAAATAAAGCAGAAGAGTGGCTCAAAGAAAAATAAGAAAGAAAAAAAACTTTGTCCCAAATGTGGTTTCTTTACCCCTGATTGTGAAACTTAGAGTTTTTGTAACTGTTAACCCTTTTAACAACAAAGGAAGAAGCCAACAAGGAAGAAGACAAGAAACATGATGAACTAAAAAAAAAAAAATAAGGAAAAGGGAAACTGGAGAAGGAAAAGAGAAAATAGAGGGTAAAAAAGCAGAAGAGAAGAATATTAACTATATGACAGCCAACAGCAACTGTGCAAGGTGCAAAGGGAGAAGGGATGGAAATGGGAGTGAACAGAACTTTACCAAATACAAATAAAGCAGAAGAGTGGCTCAAAGAAAAATAAGAAAGAAAAAAAACTCTCTGCCCAATACTGTGTAAGTTTTATTACCCTTCACAAGAAATGCTTATTTATAAAGACCATATGGCTGAACTTCTAGTAGCTTACAACTCTTGCCCTGCATTTATGCTTGCCTGTGGGTAAGATGTTACCAACTGTCACTCACCATCTTTGTAAGGTGAAGCTTCATGGGACAAAGGCTGGTGCTTCTGGATTTTTGTTACAAGTTATTTGTCACCCTTTGTTAAATGAGACCTCTCCTATAGTGCAAAATATATGATTGTTGAAGAGTCACACTATTACAATAATTAAGAAATTACGGCAAGGTGAAAAAAAGATGTAGTAATAATTTGTACAACTGTGGGCACTTGGTTTAAAGCATTTTCTGCCTTTGATTTTTATTTATACTTGAGGTCTCATGAGCCAGGATTCAGTAAAGAAACACCTCTATGAGAGTCCTGAACACGGTACCAGGATGAGATTTACTTTGACTGTCCCCATCTATTTTTCTTTTTTTTTATTTTTTTCCCAAAAGCCATTTGTCTAATGCTGACAGAACCTCTATTGCCCTCAACAGCTTACAGGAATGCTGCTGCAATCAAACTGCCTTTATTATGGTAAAAAATCACTACCTCAGCATGATCTCACTCTGGATCACCCCTCACATCATCAGCTCTTAATAGGCTTACAACTTGTGTGGATTACTAAGCAATTGCTGGAATATAATAGTGCTGGGAATTTTATAATTTTACCATATTTCATCGTGTTTATGAAAAATAACTTCCTAGAGGACTGTCATTCCTGGAAGGTGTGTCAACTCACAGTGCCACAGATGAACTCACTCTGGGGTAGCTCTTCAAACACTGTTCAAAAGTACAAAATCTGTACTTTGAACAAACAAATGGAACTCTGGAAACATAAATCTATCAGACCGAGGCCTTCACCTAAAACACAGGAAAGGGAAACAACATTTTAAACCTTTTCAGTAGTGGTTATTGTTATGATTCCTTTCTTACACTCATACAACACAAACTCACCACAGTTCATAGTTGAAGTTTCTTTTGAAATATAAGGATATTTAATTGGCTTGCTTTGGATACTACCCTATGATATACTTTCTTTCAAACAGGCTGGAATTAAAACAGAAGAAGATTCCTCAGTTTTAAGAATAAAAGGCATTTTTCTCAAAACAGGCTGTTGAAACTCAAGCAAAATTGATAGATCGGAGGGAGCCAACCACAGGGAAATGCAAATTATAGGATGATGAAACTTGTGTGCAGGAAGAGGTCAGCCTTCAAGGGTGGAATAAAATACAGAAATACCATGGTGACATCATGCCCCCAATAAACATCATATGTACTGATGTATAGTTAGACACACACACACAAAAACCCAAATTCAATGGGTTTTTCCTCCTGCATTTCCTCCTGCCTCCGAGCCTCCTGCTCAGCTGACCCTGCTGTTTGGGAGCACTTGTCTTTAAGGCAAACAAATTAAAACCAAACCCAATAGCCTGTAAATCAGAATGTGTCATGAGCAACCCTATTCTCTAAATAAATAGGTGTTAATGTCTCTAAATGTACATGGTCGAGAAATTCTAAGAACGTTAACATAATTGCTTACTTTCTTTTCTGTTCCTTGCTTTTGAAGACACATACTTAATCTCATCAGTCTCATTAGGCATGGAGTTATAAAAGAGCATTGTTAGACCAAAAATCTGAGCCAACATAAGTTACTGAGGGGACAGAAGGTCAACTGTCTGCAAAGTCACCTTCTGTCATTAGGCAGCGTGTTTTAAGATCCCCTGTCTGTCACCCTGGAGAGGTGTTAAAACTAGAAAAAGTAGTGAAATCAGGGAGATTGTCATAAAATACAGTGAAGTTTAGAAAAGGAATTCTAAAAAGAAAACTTTACTTAAATCTGGAATGCAAAAATTGAGAAGAGTAAATAAATGAAGAGTTAGGCAGGAGGCTCACCCTACACCTGAACCAACCTCTGAGGAAAGTCTCAGGCTGCGTGCAATGGAATTGTAAATGAATTGGGTTTCAAGTGCTCTGAAAATAGGGGATATAAAGACACAATACAGGGAGATGGACAAGACAGATCAGTGGAAATTTGTTCCAGATGGCAAAATGGAAATGACTTTGTTATTAGAGACCTTGGATTCCAGAAACTGAATTTTTCATTGCAATTATCTGTAAAAATGAGAAGTTACATTCTAAAATGGTTAGTCCGATCGATTGGACTGTCAGAGCAAACTTACAGCAGTAAATGAAAAATTCCTAGTGAAGTTCCTGGGCAGTGAGACACACTTGCACGGGAAGGTGCACATCTACTCTACTAAATTCTTCTAACGACCAAAACTAGGTGGCTGCACACAAACTGCTTATTGGTTCCTGGGATGTTCTAACTTCCAAACCACACCTGTGAAATATTTGCAGGTGTGCTAGCGGCAACTGCCAAAGTCATGTCAAAGAACAGATTACTTGTTCCTAGTATAAATGATCGCATTCCTGTTTCCAGCCCTATTTAGTTTATTAGCGTAGGTTCTGCCTTAGCATCCCAGAATCTCTGCTTTCAGTACATACAGAACAACATGATGGTTTATTTAAGAAAATGGAAATTAGTATAAGTAAAAACTTGCTCACTGTTAGAGATTGAATTCAATTATTTTTCCCGAAGAAATATTTTTCACTTAGAAACTGAGACGATCTGTTTTCCAATATTGCCTCCATTCATCATGGACTGGTGATGGTTTATTTAAGAAATTAGTATAAGGAAAAACTTGCTCACTGTTAGAGATTGAATTCAATTATTTTTCCCGAAGAAATATTTTTCACTTAGAAACTGAGACGATCTGTTTTCCAATATTGCCTCCATTCATCATGGACTGGAAAGCGGCTTCAAGAGAAATAATGAAATAAGTTAGTGCCAAGCCAAATGTGCCAAGGAACTTTCAACAAAGAAAAAAATTAACGGTGGAAGGATGTACTAGCCAGCTCCCCAAATTAAGAAGAAAAAAAAAAAAAAAAGCAAAGCTACTCTGTAATAAACTGCTAAGGGCACTTTTGTGTAATAATTAAAAATGTGTCAAGGAACTTTCAAAAAAGAAAAAAATTAACAGTGGAGAAATGTAGTAGCCAGCTCCCCAAATTAAAAAGAAAAAAAAAAAAGCAAAGCTACTCTGTAATAAACTGCTAAGGGCACTTTTGTGTAATAATTAAAAAAAATATGTGTAAGCAACTGTTTAGCCCTGTAAAAGTTAACAGTTCCATTTGCTGCTTTTGAGACATGCCATATCAGATATGGTACAGAAAAAAAATACTGGTAAGCAACTGTTTAGCCCTGTACAAGTTAACAGTTCCATTTGCTGCTTTTTGAGACATGCCATATCAGATATGGTACATAGTGAGATATGTACCAAACAGACAGACAAAGTGTGCCTGGAGAGCCCTCAAATGCTGAGGGTTTCCTTCCTTTGTGAAAAGAAAATGTTTAGAAATACTCTATGTAGTGCAATAAATGCCAGAAGCTGGTGCAACATGACTCTGAGTAAAAAAAAAGTATGAAATATGACTGCTATATTTGATCAAATTCCTTCAAAATACATACGTATACCAGTCAGTAGCAATGATTAGAATAAATTTAAATCTGTAAAATTTGGCTGTCACTTAATTCTACTGGTTTCCAATCTTATGGGACTAAAGACTAAATTCTTACAGCACATCTTGAACGCCCTGGCTCTCTAACTTTGTCTCACTGGAGTCCCAACCCCCCCTTCATTTCTTTATTTTCTTTGCTACAGATTTTTTGTTCCTTTAATATTACTAATTATGTTTTACTTTCTTTACTGATCTCTAATATGCTTGCCCCTTTCTTGTGTGTTCTTTTCAATTTATTTGTTGTTAGCAAATTCAAAAACAAGCACCGTTAGAAACTGGTTTTTTAAAGCGTAAGTTCAAGCTTTCCAAAATACCATTTTCTTATACACAAGTTCTAAGAAATGGGCAGCTCCTTGAGTCTGTAAGATCAGGGTGATTATCATCAGCTGCTAAGGTAGCAATTTAACAAATCATTCCCCCCCATAGTAAAACAAAACAACAACAACAAAAAATAATCAAAATTTACATTAAATCATGAGTTTTTTAAGATAAAATAATCTTCTCACAAAAATTTTTAATACATTTTGAAAAAATATTTTTTTTTATAACATAAAAATCATGTTTTAGATAACATACAAAAATCTGAATTGGCAAGTGAAACAAAGGAGGTAGATAACCTCTACTGTGATTGTGTTTAATCAGACTATTATTCTAAGAAAATGGTGTAAAAATCTTACCACCCATGTTTGCCAAGCCTTCTACCATGGTCTCTCTGACCTGCCAAGGCAAACAAGTCCTTTTAGCTTTCTTCAAACGAGATTAACATTATTTCTTAGAAACATGCCATGAAACTGCCACAGAAGCTATCAAAATCTAAAGGGTTCTTCTATTGCCACACTGGACAGGGCCAAAATTTCACACCTCAGGATTTTCCCCAGGAAAGTTACTGATCACCTGAAGAATCAAAAACTAATCTAGACAGACCTGATGGGGAAGGGATGGATAAAGCATCTACCCGTCACAAAATAATAAACAGTGGTTATAAAGCCCGAAACAAAATTTCAGACAAGATCCCCAAAAATCATTCAGGACATGAACTAATCAGGAATTTGAAAGGAAGTATTTTTGAAGGTCTGATCCCTTAAGTAAAAGAGCACTTGCACTTTATACTGAAAGAAATATAGACATCAGCAGCATGTAATTAGAAAAGTCTGTCATACTACAGTCACATCATCCTCAGCAGGTATCTACTCAAACAGTGCTGCTTCCTAAGCTTTCAAGTGTACTTCAACATTCATAAGAAAACTCGCTCAATAGTGAGGCACAGTAAGAGAGCCAAGGACAGAGAAATTGGATGTCTTGTACTCAGACCAAGACCTGAGGACATAGTATCAGAGGCCATACACAAGATGTGAAAGTTCCCACCTTGAGTTTGCCCTCCTGGATCCACTGACAGAGCTGTAACACGCTGGCTTCTTGTTTGTCCATATAGTTCAACACTAGGAATCTTTCCCTGTGAAAGAAAAGAACAGGCCTTGATTTACGAAAGGTCGGTAAGCATATTTTGAAATCTTTACAAATCTTTTCAGGAAACAGTGTTATTGAAACGGAAGGATTATGAATGCTAATTACAATGAGACACAGCTCAGAGCTTTGCCAGCTTGTTGAGACAGCTCCCTGCAGCAGGGCCTTGACAGTCACATCAGTCTTAGACAAGGAATTCTGTTCAAATGACAGAGAGAAGAGTAATAAAAACCAAGTAGTATTGCCAGAATAAGCAAACAGCCATAAAATGTGAGGAATTCCTAGTCTTTTTTACCTCTTTTTTTGGTGGCAAGTAGAATAATGAATGGACGTGCAACTAAATGGTGAGTATAAATTAACTTTCAGGCTCCTCAAAATTTTGCTATCACAGCTGCCTATAGCAATCAAGAGAAACTGCAACAATCATAAAAAATGATAATTACTTGTAGCAATGTACTGACTAAATTCTCCACTGCCTTCTACTGGGCATGGTGTATTTTAGTACTTTCATTCATGTTTTAAAAGTGCAGACAACAGCAACAGGGACAAGAAAAGAACTCCAATTAGAACATTAGAGTTACAACATCATGTGTACAATCCACCTGGAACATGGTCACAAGTTCTGAAGGAGAAAGGTACCTTGTGATATTTCTTTCTCTCCGTATTTTTTCTGTGTCAGGAGGCAGCGGAGGAGGATAAGGCACATCTTTGTTATACTGAGAAATCTGTCCACACAGGATGATGTGGCTGTTCTGATTCATCTGTTTGGGACAGCACAAAGTGAGAAAAATTAGACTCCTTTGTCTCAGAAACTAAATTTTCCAGAGATGCAATAGATTACATTGCAAAATTTTCACATGGGTATCCTTATTTAGAGAGAAAATAGTGGGAGAATTGCAGGCAGTCCCATTCACCCTGTGACACCAAAGCCTCCCTGCCATGAGACAGAGTATGGAGAGGACTGGTCAAGACCAGCAGAACTGGTCTTTTGTGAAGCCAGAAAACCAAAGCTGGCAAAACACGAGATTACTACACTGACAGACAAGGTTTTTAGAATACTACCAAGTCTGCTGGCCAAAGAAGCAAGAGATAAGAAAGCAGAAATTGTGTTTCTATTACTACACTGCCAGGCTAGTCCAACTGACAGACACTGATTTCTCCTCAGGCCCAGGATCAGCACCTGGATTAGATCAATGAAGTGGGAAGTCTGCTCTGCTCTACTGCAGGTTCAGTTCCAGTGTGAATGAATTCAAAGCTGGGCACGCAGACGTTGGAGAATGACTAGAATAAACCCGACAGCTGGTATAATCACCTGACTTATGACTGTGTCACTGATGTCTCCACCAACATTGTCAAAGTAAACATCCACACCGCCTGGGCAGAGCTCACGGAGCTGCTCTGCAACATTCCCCTTCTTGTAATTGATAGCAGCGTCAAACTCCATTTCTTGGACCAAAATGGAGCACTTCTCATCTGTGCCCGCGATGCCCACCACTCGAGAGCAGCCCTCCAGACGGCCGATCTGCAGCAGAGTTTAAAAAAACACCCCCCCCAAAGAACAAAGAGAAGTTAGATCATTCATCTGCATAAAGGTACCAGTGGGAGGACAGGGGCCCTGAGGGGGTGTTACAGTTATCCCACATCCCACTAAACCCCAAGCAGCAAAGTTCATGGCACACTCCCATCTCAGGTGACACAATTGCCTCATCATTCCCTCCTCAAAAAACAGAGAAGGGGCAGGTATAACCAAAATCTGCCATCTTTCCAACCTCACTGACTGCAGGAGGTTTAATCTGTAGAGGCACCAAAGACTGGCAGTACTGGAGAGCTAAATATAGTATAAAATCACCATCTGCCAAATACTTTAGCATAGCTAATAACAAAAAGCCTGAACAATAATTTATTTAAATACATTCTTCATAGATTAAATTATGCAGTTTCCCCATAGCTCCACTTTATCTGCAAGTCTTAAGCTTGCTTAATATCTATTGTGTTTGTATACATATATCTGTGTATATATATATATATGTAGATATGCAAAAACACACTGTAACACGTCCTGCAAAGCTGAGGAGGATAAAAGGGCTGTAAATCTCAAAACCCAAAGGATGTCATGGAACACAACACGAAGAAGGTGTGTACATGCCAGGAGGTGTAATGATAGGACAAGGGGAAACAGTTTTAAATTGGAAGAAAAAAGATTCAGATTAGATCTCAGGAAGAAATTCTTTACTGTGAGGATGGTGAGGCACTGGAACAGGTTGCCCAGGGAAGTTGTGGCTGCCCCATCCCTGGAAGTGTTCAAGGCCAGGCTGGATGGGGCTTTGAGCAACCTGCTGTAGTGGGAGGTGTCCCTGTCCATGGCAGGGGGGTTGGAACTCGATGATCTTTGAGGTCCCTTCCAACCCAAACCATTCTATGATTCTATGATTCTAAGAAGGGTTTACTACACTTTTTTACTGACTATTTTTTAATAAAGAAAAAAAAGTTGCCAGTCAACTCAAAGACTGTGTTCAAATGGCAGACTACTATATCAATATATAGTAAATACATGTATTTATACCATCTGCTTTATTTATGCTAGTGACAAGTAATCACCTTGGGCCCTTTTGTCCTATCCCAGTTCCATGAACCTTAAGTTTCACACCTAAAAATCTTTCTCAGTGAGAGCACGAGCCAAATCTGTGAAACTGGCCCTTCCCACGGAGTTGTACCTGCTCACTTTTACAGTGATTTGATCTGTATGTTTCCTAACCAGGATGTTTCAGCAGATAAACTTGGTAACAGCGAATGCTTGTACGTCTTAAACCCACCTACCTGGCCAGCCAAAGAGCCACAGGCACCAGCTGCTCCGCTCACCACCATGGTCTGATTTGCACCCACAGCCACGTGTCCTTTCTCCCTTACACCTAAGAGGGCTGTCAGTCCTGTGATACCAGCTGCACCCAGAAAGTAGGAAAGGCGTCCGTTTACAAGTTGTGGAGCAAGCTACAAAACAGAAACACGTGGTGGTGACCATTTCTTTTTAAGGTGAGGTTTTGCTGTTCGCTATTTGATTGTCTGAGGATAAAAGATTAACTCAGGATAGTTACCAGCCAAGGTACAACTGGTACGGACAAGCTAGCTATAAACTAACTTTACCTTAATAATAAGTTTATACAAAATGAGACAAAGATTGTATTTCCATAGTTTTAGAAAAAGGTTTTAAACAAAGTCACTCACACAAAGCAAAAAGCAGTTGGGAGATGAGAAGTTTCCAGCAATAGTGAACAATCCCTGTGTTAATGTGTGGTTCTCTGATAAAATATCACTGTCTTATCAAATACTGTGATTGCAGATCAGTGGCAAAAGGACCTAAAGGGAGGAGCTTATCTCAAAGTATACATTCTTAAACTACAATAATTTTCTGTGTTACACGAGGATGATCAAGACAATATGCCTAATGCACTGTTACCTCTCCATTTTCAACTTCATATTGAATAACCTTTCTTCTATGGATGTAAAATCTCAAGTAAAAGCTTTCACTAACATATGTCACTGAAATAAATTGAAATAAATATATATAAAGCCTTTCATGTCTTATGACTACACTCTCATGGATCAGGAGTTCTACTAGAATTAGAATAATTAACAGAATCAATTAACAGAAGCCGCTTCAGGGAAATTTGTCAAAGATCCAATTGAAATAACACTGGTGTGTCTGGTAACCAACAAAACCATTTATATTTTGGTTTGTTAATGCAAGAGATAAATTGATACAGATTTTGCCACCTGTGAGCTGATCTGCCTTTTGAGAACCGGTTGCTCCAATAAAAGTGGCTTGCTTTTGACTAAGAAATAGTACCATTAGCCACTATTAAGAAAAAAAAAAAAAAAAAGACTTAAGAAAAGAAAATGGTGACTATCTGGGCTTCGCATTTACATTACCTTTTGTAGCAAGCTTCCATCTAGAATTGCCACTGTCTGCCAGGGCCAATTGAAGGAAGTTACGAAGTCTCCTTTAGCAAGGTTATCGTGCTTGCTCTCCTCCACAACCCCAATGCCCCCACCATCAGCAACTTCAGAGAGCTGCCAGGGCAGGAGGTAATCCGAGCCAGTATCCTCATTCATTCGGCACCGCTGAAAGACAAGGCTTTAATAACAGGCTCTGCTGGAACACATGGGTTGTTTAGGAGTTCAAATGAAGTTGGAGATGAGATATGTTTAAAACTTCAAACACAAAGAGCTACTCAAAAATCTCTCAGTAAGCCCCCAGAATTCATCATCTTTACTTAGATCCCTCATTCCACTCTTGTTTGCTCAGTACAAAAGGAGGATGGACCATTCTGATCTCCTCCAGCAGCATCACCAAAGCCAACATGTTCTATAGATGCTGCCTCAAAGTCAGCCATGCGACCAAAGACGACTGGCTTGGGTCTGACAAGAATCCTATAAATGCCATTCCTTATCTGGATGAATCATAGGAATGTAGGATTGAAAAAACTACCCACAAGTCATTTAGTCCATGCCTATGCACTGAAGAACAGTGACACGTATGTAGACCATCCCAGACAGAGATCTGTTTCATGAAACATCTTGAAATCTGACGTCATTTTTTATTATCTCCCCCGAAGTCTGAGTTAGTACTTCAGGATTCTTAAACTCTTCCTTAATTCCCAAGCTAAACCTACTTTCCTGAAATTAAGACTGTGTCTTTTCTACTATTTCCATCTATGCAGGAAACAAATTATCAGAATTCTCTTTATAGCAAACTTTTATATACTAGCAGACCGTCTGCCTGGTTCTCCTCCCATCTTCACTTCCATTTCAACCCACACCTTTCACAACCACAATTTCTACAGTTTTGCAGAATTAGGTGCATTAGCTGATTGTGGCTTCATTGACCAATCCTCTCTCTGTTTCCACTGTTTACAAAGTATTGACACGTTTCTGTCCTGCCATCACCCACTTAAGGAGAAAATCCAACTTTTATTTGTAAACAAAACCGCCAATACCTAAATAGCATTTAACTTAAATAATTTATATGCTTTGTCTAGAATTCTTTTGCCCTCTCTTGCTTCATCATGAAATATTCTTCATCCTCTACCCACGCTCCCCTCAACTGAAATATATTTTCTTCCATGGCAAAAAAAAAAAAAGTTTAAAAATTTATATAAAATAGGCAAAGTTCAAAAAAGCTGATACAATAAATCTGTAATGGTATCCCAGGGCTCATAGTCTCTTCTTAGTCCTATAAAGTGATGTTCCTGTATATATTACAGGCACATTAATGCCAGATTCCCTCCCAATATAACTCCATCAGAATAAACAGAATTACTAAGTTATACTGGAGATACCTTTGTCCTATAATTGGTAACTTTAGCATTAAACATCATGACAGGTACAGAGTTGACAGTATATTAAAAAACAAACTCTGGCTTAGCTCTAAGTCCATCACCTACCATGTAAGGGTCCACAGAGAGATAAAGGGTTCTAACACGCACTTGTCCTGCTTGGATTGTATCTGCTATTGTGCTTTGTTCCAGTCGGAAGTTTTCAGCCACTGGCACTCCATTCTTACCTAGAATTGTTTTAAAATCAAAGAAATAAATGAATCAATATGGAGTTTCCCTTAATCAATATGGAAGGCCTTTTTCCATGATAGTCCTTTTTAGAATAAGTTAGGCTATATCTTTACTTAGGTATAAACCTACTGACCAACTTTCAGATTTTGTGTCCCAGGCTATGATTTAAATGGGTGTGCTGCCACCATCCAAACTGAAAACTTGCTGACCTGTCAACCTATGCTTACCTGGGCCAATCCCAGGCACTTGCCCTGACTGACAGTTTCCATGCTGTTTGCTACAAATAATTTTTATTAAAAATTAATACAAACTTAAAAAAAAAAAAAAAAAAAAAAAAGAAGGGTGGAAACAAAAAAACCCCAAAAAAACCCACCACCAGAGTTTAGAAGAAACCAAGCAGAGGATTTTTCTTAGCAGCAGCAAGCAAACAGAGGAGTTTGCAAGCAAACAAAGCCAGCATGGAAGCATTCTCCTATATACGCTGTTGAACCTTAGCAGGTACCGAAGGCCTTTCTTAAGACTTCTTAACTTTGCACCTCTGAATGCCCAAACAGCTGAGGCAGCCCTAAAGCCGCAGTCAACTGAAGACCCAACACCCCACCATTCCCAGAGAAGCCCCAGAGCAGAATGAACTTACTGAGCAGAGGTCATGGTCAGACCCCAGGCCCCGTCCACTACCCTTCCCACAATCCCCTGGCAAAGGGGCAGGGCCAAGCCCCAGAAGCCATAGAGATAGCCACAGGAGTAGGACCCGTATTTCTCACATAAAAAAAAAAAAAAAATAAAAAAAAAAAAAAAAAAAAAAAGAAGAGGGGTCTGTCCCTACTCTCAAAAAATGGTTCTATATACCCTGTGTGCTAAAAAGCCCCTAAACTTCAGAACAAAGACATGTCTTGGGACTTCTCTCACATAACAAAACCACTGTATGTTATTTTGCCAGTAGTAAATAACCATAAATTTTAAACAGGTAAGTTTTAAACTCTCACCTTTCAGTCTCTTTAGAGTCAGTGAGACTGGGGGAACAGAGACCATGACCACTGCACATGCATATGCTGCAAGAGCACCCCTTCACAACTGCCGACAAAACCTCCTTAAAGTTTCCCCAGAAACACCTATAAAACGTGTGCCAAGATCCCCAGAACTGGAGGTTCATCCTCAGGTTGGCACCACACGCGGCAGATCAATCAGACTGACAAGAGGAACCACCAGCACTAAAAGCAGCCAGCCAGATAGCCATGTATGGTTTAAGTCAGGGTGACTGGGCAACTACAGCAGGCTACTGCTGTAATGTTTGATTTGCATTAAAAAAAAAAAAAGACAGTTCACCCATTAGTTCTTATCTCTTAGAGGAGTATTTTGGCACTGAGCAGCATACAATACACCCCAAAAACTTAACACACACATGCGGGTCTTCTACAACAGACGGTTTAGAAACTGACTATTCAAAATATTGGGCTGACATCCATAACAAGGCAAATGTGTAAGCAAGGAAGTAAACAAATCCTTAGGAGTCTAAGTTTAAACAACACTTCAAAACATGGAAGGAAGAAAAGACTCAATATTTACTAAAAGGAAACAAAAATGAACAGTAACAACATACGTTATTTAAGTCATGTCTTAAAATGCAAAAAGAACAAATGTCAGAATTAAAAAGCAATGCTTGCTATTCTTTTTTCACTGAGTCCCTACACTTAGAGCTTTCTCATTTATTATACATTAAACCTTTTTTTCTCACCCAAGAGTTTACCAATCTGTATATACAAACTAAACAAATACACTTCACAATAAACTTTATTTATTGCTGCATGCAATATTAAGACACATAAATGTCAATATCTTAAGTTAGTGTCTGTTTCTACCCTCCCCATTTTGAAGCATTAGGCAACCACAGCAAACACATGGCTCCTTTATTGGAGAGAAATACATACCGGGGCGTGAATTCAGCACCACTCTCTGTATAATCATCCCTGCTTCTGCGGCAATTTGGCACTGGATCTCTACAAAGGAAAACATTGTCTGAAGGACTGAAACATAAATTTACTTGAAAAAGAATACGGGGCAAAGTACTTAGTAATTTAGAAACTGGGGATGAAACGTGGGCACACGAACTTCAGCATCCATGCCCCAAAATCATATAAAATTACCTAAAATGTAAAATAAACAAACTTGCGTTTCCCTGTTTATTTTGTTAAAGCCATGATTTTATACAATGTCACAGTAGCACCTTTGTGCTCCTTTTAAGACCATCACCATCCCTTACCAGATTGTAGGAGATGGGTTTGGTTTATTTTCCTGTGCTGCTCGAGAACACTGTTCCCACCTAAAAGACCCTGAGGCAGTTTTGCACACGTAAAGCAGGTGCAACTCAATCAAATGTGTACACACATGCCAGTAATAGTAGTATTGCAGGCATATGATAAAAAGAGATTGTTGTGTAAGATGTTTCATGTGATATAGCAAGTCTTTCTATTAGCAATGCATTTTCTCCCCAGAAATGGTCTGGGCCCAGAGATGAGAAAGAATTACACCACCATTTGATCCGTTTTCATTTTCCTTGAATTTCAATAGTTTAAAAGAGGACTGTAAATTTGTGTTCTTGGAATGAAACTGATTCAACAGGAGAAAAAATGACAATCCTTTATGTTTTCAGAGCTAATACAAAATAAAGATGTTCTTACTACTATTCTCAGCCAAATGCCATAAATCACCAACCTCCACAAGAACCAAGGACATTAAGAAATGAAACATGAGAGCTGATGTCTTTGTTATTTTTATTTTGCTGACAAGAACAGCAAATTGGAGTGAAGCTAAACAGATGAGCCTAGAAAGAGTACATCATCACCACTTGTTCAACATCTTTTTTGCTTGAACATTGAAAAATAGAGAACCTTCTGTCCGTACTGTTACAGTGCTTTCCTTACAGCACTCACAGACCATCAAGGACTACGGCCTGCTGTGCTAAAAAACATAATAACAGAGTTATCAGGAAAAAACAGGCATATCCCTGGCCTTTCCCTCTCCTCTAAAACCCAAAACTGACCCAAAGCAAAAGTATCTTGTTCATAAACCAGATAAATGTTTAACATTTGGTTGTGTTTGCACTTTAAAAGCTACTCATTAGGGAAAAATTATTCAAGAGTTACTTTTGAAGAAATTATTCAACAAATTATTCAAGAAATACTTTTCAGTATTTCAAGTCCAAAGGGTGCTACAAGAAAAACTACAAGAAATGGATCTCAAATGTGTCTTTACAGCATCACATCAATGAAAAGTAAGTGACCTGAACAGTTCTTTGGACAGAGCAATGTAGACCATCAGTCTACAACAAAAATAAAAAAACCCAAAACACACTTTGATGGCATTACTGTTTAAAAGTTTAAAAAAATGAGTATTGGAAATACAGGAGTTAACAAGTAAAGAGAGAAATAAAAAGCCATTTTTATACCCACACAGCTGATACAATCTCTGGTATAAATACACTTATGTAAGACTGTAACAGGAAGGAGGGCCTACGATGAACTTTGGCAGATCTTGGGTTCAGCACCATACTCAGCTATAGACTTGCTGTGTGATCGTGGGCATTTCACTTTGTACTTTTATAAAATATTTTTCAGAACAAAGTTCCAAATTTCCCCTGATAACATTTGCCTAACAAAATTACATTCAAGTGGTGCAGTTGCTATCCCCAGGAAAATTGTCTTAGCATCTGACAGTCTGTGCTAATTCAATCAGCATTTTATAAACTGTCAGTTGTGTCCAGTGCAATTTAAAAGGACAACTATACTCTAGTAAACAATTTGCACACATACAGATCTTGGCTGAACTTTATAACCACTAATAAAACTGCTCTGTGCAGAAATAATGAGTTAAGAATGCAGTGAATATAAGCCAACAGTGATCTGACAGCTCACATGAAATCTGGGCAAATAATTCCTCTATATACTATTCATATTCAGTCCAAATCTATCGATGGCATTAAGGATTTACTCAATTTCTTATAAACCATGCAGAGCAGGCAGAACTGCTGTACAGCTCATGCCTCACAGAGAGACCCACTGTCAGAACTGCTCGCTCAATTTTTGTTATTTTGAGACTAAATACCTGTATATATGTATTATGCAAGCACAAAACCCCAATCTGAACAAGAGGTGATGAAAAGCATTTTTATTGTGCCTAACACAAACTTGAAATATCTGCTTTCTATGACAGTACAGAGAAAAAAATAGATTTATTTAAAGAGAAAAGCCAAAGGATATTAACATATTAAAAGGAAGAAAAAGCAATACAGAGTGGCATAAAAAGATGAGAGTGGAAAAAGTACACAATGTAAGTTTAGATTACTTCTTTGAATGCCTGACATTCTGAGGGAACATAATGCTATTGACTTCCCAGATCATTTTCACAGCTTTTGGTTGAGAAGCCTGTGTACCAATTCAATTTGAAGATCTTCCAGACACAGTGAGTGGGTGGACACAAAGTGAGGCTGGCAACTGAATTGTCACTCATTCTATGACAGCTGTCACAGTAAAATACAACACTGGAGACGGACATTTACTTCTAAATATGATTGCACTTACTCCACAGTGGAAGTCAGTAGAACCATTACACAAGCAAATGTTCACACTAATACCATAACACAGTAAGAAACAATCAAGCTTTCCTCACACTATAAACAATAGGGAAGTGACGAAAGAAAAGTAGAGGCACCAGCTTTTAGCATCATAAACTGAGGAAAGCTTTTGGAGAAAGAGAACAGATTTTTTTTTTAAGTGAAATAAAGGGGATTTGTATCATATACATAATCCTTTTCAATATATGTGGAATGCCAGTGTGAAGGATGTTTTTGACTCTTTCGTGGTTTTTTTTAAAGACCAACAGGAAGCAACACGCATTATCTTTTAGCTTTTCCAAGCAAAAATAACAAACTGGTTTCACTCTTCAAATCAAATGGAGTAAAAATTAACTTGAAGTTTTAACATCAGTATTCTATGCCAAGATCACCTGACCCATCCTGTGAATAAAACAGGAGCATTAAGCTGCACAACAGCAGTACCTTCATGGGAGCCTCAAGTATGTTTTAGACCAGTTTTATTCTTATCCCTTCTCCCCTTGCCTTTCTTTTCCCATTTTTGCAGATCCATGACAACTCCTTTTAAAAATGTTAAATAAATTCCTCAGTGCTAAAATGCTCCACTTTGTCCTGGGCTTGACTCCTGGAACTTCTCGTTTCTGAGACTGCCCATTAAGACACTGTTTTCAGTTACATCTACTTTTGCCAAAACAATTCACCTATTTCCAAGTTGTTAGAGCCTATGCCAGATGCAGCATAGTAAAAAAAGGAAGAGCAGGTAGTTTTTTCCTCCTCTATCAGGCCCAGGCAGCACAGAGGAAGAAGGCAGTCAATCTAAAAGGAGGAGAAGGAAGACTGAAAGTCTTCTGAAACTTTGGTGTCAAAATGGTTGGAACAAGGACACTCAGAGGAAACTCAAAGAAAGAAATTTCAAAGAAGAATGACTCTGAATGAGGAACACGCAGGAAGGAAAGACAGGAGGCATTGGCACTAGGACTCAGTGAGAACAGAGAAACGTGGCAAGAATAGCAACTTAAAGGCCAGTAAAGCGGGGAAGACAGAAACAGAATGGAGAGAGAGAACTGGAGAAACTGAATGAGATGGAGCTAAGCAAACTGAGATGGGAATGCATGGGCAAAAAGCAAAACTATGATAACTATAACTGGCAAGGTAAGGAGAATGGAAATGGAAAAGCCTATGTAATGAATTAGGCACTAAAGTCTCACCAGACCCATAACAAATAACATTTGAAGAATGCTAATTAATTGCAAACTCAAGTTTTCAAAAAGTAGAACCCAGAATCAATACTGTCATGAATGGAGGAAACCGCATGTCATAAAAAGTACTTTCATGAACTGAACTAATACATCTAGATTTCTTAATATTTCATGTCTCATCACTGGATTCTATAGTGTGAAATTCCTCCCACAGCGTTTTCTCCGTGTAGATTCTCTGACACACTCTAAGGATTGAGGGCAGGCTGCAGCCTTTCCCTCAAGAAAGGTGAAAAAGGAAGAACGACAGCAGTAGTGGGATCTTGATGCAGTCATCTTTTCTTTTTTTTTTCCTTTTATAGTCCAACAAGCCTAATATCTTTGAGCTTTTTATCAAATTTGACTGATACACAGGGCAAAAGTTCCAGTAAGTATATACATTCGTATCTACACACGATAGGATTGTAAAAACTTTACTTTTTCAGACTGAGGTGTGAAAAAACTGAAAGGTACCACTTCTTGGGTATTTTATTTTTTTTAAATAGTTGCACTGTATTGGAGTTGCTGAAAATTGTTTAAAAATACCAACACACAAGGCCTATTTTTTCTTAGCAGAACTTCAAGTCAGAAATGAACACAAGAATGCAAATTGCTCCCAGAAATGCAGGAGCATCACCTGATGTTTTTTTGAGAAGTCTGTGATGCAGTATGCAGGCTCCCAGAGGAGAGCAATCCCAGAGAGCATACTGATTATCCACTTGCCTAGGTGTGATCCAAGACCAAGTTAGAAATCACTGCTGTCAAAGGTGGAAGAGCCTCTGGAGACTGTCCTGCTGATAGTTCAATATCAGTTTCAGAAGCTGCCGACAGAATAAGGCACGAGGGAGAAACAGAGAGAGGTCAGAAGCAATAAAGGATGTTCAGTTTTACAAGCTGCACAGTGGTCCTGATCTGGGTGCCGAGAAGGTCTCCTTTCCTCAGGGATTCCTCCACTCCCCCACACCGCAGTTTGACCCAGGGCCTGGATGAGGCCTGGCTCCTGTTCTAGGGATCGGGCAATCCCAGTCACAGAATGGTTTGGGGTGGAAGGGACCTTAAACATCACAGAATCATAGAATAGCCCAGGCCAGAAGGGACCTTCAAAGGTCATCTAGTCCAACCTCCCTGCAGTCAGCAGGGACACCCCCAACTAGACCAGGTTGCCCAGGGCCTCATCGAGCCTCTCCTTGAATATCTCCAGGGAAGGGGCCTCAACCACCTCCCTGGGCAACCTGTTCCAGTGCTCCACCACCCTCACAGTGAAGAACCCTCTCCTAACCCTCATCTAGTTCCTAGCTCCCTGCTATGGACAAGGACTCCTCCCACCAGGCCAGGTTGCTCAAAGCCCCATCCAGCCTGGCCTTGAACCCCTCCAGGGATGGTGCATCCACAGCTTCTCTGGGCAACCCCTTCCAGTGCCTCACCACCATTCAGAGCGAAAAATTTCTTCCCCATATCTAATCTAAACCGTCTCTCCCGTCAAACCCGTGCCCCCGCCCACCTTCGCAACCACACGCACCAATCCCTGAGGCAGGGGCTCCTGAGAAGGAGGGAGGGGGCTCTGGCCCCTTAGGGAGAGCTTGAAGGGCGCTGCCGAGCCCTCCCCACCCGAGACGAGGCCGCCGGCCCTACCGGTTTTACACCTGGCACCGGGGCAGGCTCATCCCGACGGGTGTCGGTGGGCAGACGCCCACCGGTCCGTCCCGTCCGCGGAGGGACCCGAGGCCCCGCCGCCATCGTGCCCCTCCGCGCGGGGACGGTTAGAGGGGGCCCGCCTCACCCCCCCCCCCCCCCCC